CTGGAGTGTGGGAGGAAGAGGGTCAAGGCAGGCCTAGGGTAGGCCTGGCAGCAGGACCTCCCCAGCCAGCACAGACCCTGGGCCGTGGAGGCTCGCAGCCTCATTAAAGACCCCTCCCATCTCACATACATCCCAAGCCAACTTCATGCAAAACTGGCGTCCTTCCCCGGACCTGGTGAGCTTGGACAGGCACCATGTGGGCAAGAAGCACCACAGTGAATGATGCAGGCAAAGACTAGAGGGCTCTCTTCAAGGATTCTGCTATGAGTTAGAAGCCCACCATGGCCTTAGGAGTCGGGGACGGCTCAAGATGGTCTTCTACCAGCCAGGTTCAACTGGCATGCAAAGCAGAGTACATGAGAATTAGAGGAACAAGAAAATATAACACTTAAAAAATGAAATAAAATTAATCTCTGTCCCACAATATCCTTCTCATGTGCATGACAGCAACTCCAAAACTGGATCTCTGGCATTTGGTAAACTCACCTTCCTCACCCAGTACAATCACATTGTCAAAGGGAAGGTCATCTCTGGGTTCCCAGGGCACATCACAGTGTTTGTGGAGCACAGGCTTAAAACCCAAGCTAAATGCAGTTCAAAATCAAAGTGAAATGTGCTCTCAATAAAGGCTTAGTTTTTAACACATCGTTTAATCCTCTCTCTCTCTCTTTTGTTTAAAGTCAGAGTCTCACTGTATCACCCAGGCTGGAGTGCAGTGGCACGCTCACAGCCACCACTGCCTCGACCTGCTGAGCTCAGGCTGTCCTTCTGCTTCAGCCCTTCAAGTAGGTAGAACCACAGGCATAAGTCATCACACCCAAGTAATTTTTTTTGGATTTATTATAGAGACGAGGTCTTACCATATTGCTCAGGCTGGTCTTGAACCCTTGGGTTCAGGCAATCAATCCTCTTGCCTCCACCTTCCAAAGTGCTGGGATTACAGGTGTAGCCACCACACCCAGCAATCTTTTTAGAATAAAAATGATGGATATACGCCATGGTTTAAAATATATATAATAAATAGCCATGAATGCTTAAAGATATCACTACAAGGATATTCACTTTAGTTATGTTTATGGTTTTCAAACATGGTTTTTTGGGGGGTTTTTTTGTTTGTTTTTTGTTTTTTTTTTTTTGAGTTGGAGTCTCACTCTGTCACCCAGACTGGAGTGCAGTGGCCGCTCCCGGCCTCGACCTGCTGGGCTCTGGCGATCCTTCCACCTCAGCCTTCCAAGTAGCCGGAATCACAGGCATGCACTACCACGCCCGGCTGATTTTTTGATTTATTGTAGAGATGAGGTCTCGCTGCCCAGGCGGGTCTCGAACCCGCGGGCTCAGGCAATCCACTCACCTCAGACTCCCAAAGGCGCAGGATTACAGGCTGAGCCACTGAGCCCGGCTCAAACATATGGTTTTGAGACAGCTTAAATATCTAAGAATTAAAGACTGGTTGAATAAATTATGTTTATTTATACAACAGAATATCATATAGACATTAAAATGGTGCTGTATAAGAATATATAAAGACTTAAATCCTCAATATATCATTAAATAAGAAAAGCAGGTTGAAAAACATTATTATACCACTTTTGTGATAAAAATATATAAATGACTAAAAGGTTACATCATACAGTGCTAGTATTATGAGAATGGAATTGAATATGAAATTTTTTTCTCTCTTTTTAGGAGAGAAGGTCCTAAGTTTTCTAAATTTTGCAAAACAAGCACATTTTAAAAAAATATTTAAAAGAGTGAGATAGGGTTTCACTACATTGCTAGTCTGGTCTCAAACCCTTGGCCTCAAGTGATCCTCCCACACTGGCCTCCCAAAGTGCTAAGATTACAGATGTGGCCACTGCATAAGCCACCATGTATTTTTATAATCACAAAAGCATTACATATGCTACATTTTTAACAGATTCACCTGATGCTGGGAGGCTGTCAGAGAAGGCTGGACTATGTACTAGCCACCTGCTCCCCCATGCCTGCACCCCTTTCTGAAGAAAGAGTCTATTTTAAAAATGCAACACAGAAATGTAACACAACAGGCATGCTGCACAGGGCTCTTTTCATAGCCTCTCTGGCAGAGCAGAGTAGGACTGAGAGGATGGCCTGAGTTGTGAGTCAGGATGGATATGACAGCTCAACACAGTCCCAGGTTGCTCTGGGAAAACTGCATTTGTCTGGATCTGCATAAGAAACAAAAAATGAAAACAAAAAACAAGAAAGCTTGCCCCCAAATTAATCAGCTTCCAGTATTTATGCTCCCAAGGAGAGTAAAAAAAATAGTTAAGACACTTAAGACATTTAAAATTCTTAAGGGGGTAGATACTTGCAGATATTTTCCTATAAGCACATGAGGGGAAGAAAAGGAACAACCCACGTGGGTTTGCATGAAGAGCATGAGTGATTCCCACAGCTCAAGTGGAATGAATTGTTGATTTGAAGCAGGGAATGCTTTGGATATTCTCAGTTGGTTTCAATAATTTTATGAGGCATGGCGTTTTGGAAATAGCATAGGATTTGAAAGTTTGCTTATTAATTATAACCACTCTGTAGATGATTCAAATGGGATTTAAGACTGCTCAGATATATACAAAATATTAAGATACAGCGTAAGACTAGGCATTAGAAGACTAGAATATCTGTCCTAAGTCATCTATGTGCTACATAATTGTAGGATAGTTTCCCCTTCTTTCTTGCTTGTAGTTCTCAAGAATAACTATAAAAAATGCAGAGAATACAATATCCTGAGATAGGGAGGAATTGGCTAAAATAGCCCAAGCCTTGTTCCTGTCCCTTCTAAGGAATGTAACCTCTTGAGTTAGGGAGAAACTGCCTAGGACAGCCCGGGCTTTGTTCCTCTCCCCTCTTCAAGCAGGATGTCCCTACAAAGCCGTAGCCTAGTAAGTCCCATTGTCCCTGAGGTATACAATCCAGAGGGGGATGCCTTTTAGGGTCCCGCAGCTGTGGTGCAAGTGAGGCACACGCAGTCGAGACTCATCTGCATCAGGGAGCTTTCTGGAGCCTTGGGAGACCCACTCACAAAGGACAGTAGAATTTCTTTGTCCTCTGCTGTCTACCTGTAATATGCGAGCTTCATGTAACACACTGCAAAAGCATGTTTTCTCTTGCTGGACTCAAAGGAGTTGGTAACCAGTACTCAGTGAATGTGCACCACAGTAATCTTGACCAAAATGCCTTTTAAATCTTAGTTTCCTCATCAATCAAATGGGGGTAATGATTAATACTGATATGGCAAGGTCATCTACTGCAAACTTAAATTATGTTTTATTTTTGCCACTGTAGAACATTCAGAAAGAATTTCATTTCCTCCTAGTCCAATGAGAGCAGAGGACCTACAGTCAGGTTTAATTTGACTTTAGAAAAGGTAAGTCAGGTGACATTCTCACACCCAGGAATGGTGGAACAAACTCATGCACTTTCTTCACAAGCTTGGCCTAAACAATGGAGGTCATAATGCTGCCAATTTTCACACAATGTTCAGATACTAATTACTGTTATTAAGAATTCCATTTATCTCATATAATATAGCAGAAAGACCAAGGAGACTTGGGCTCTTGTCCCAGTCCCACGTCTGTATACTTGCTGGAACCTCATCTGTAAAATGGGAACATACTGTTTTCTTACCCCCCTTCACAAGATTATTGTGAGGCTCCAGTGAGATAATATATGTGAAAGGGTTCTGGAGAGAGTTAGACAAAGGTAATCCATAAAAAAACCACAACCAAAATCTGCAATATCACTTTACAGTAACATTCTATGAGCACTGAGCATTGATTAAAACTGAACTGATACCTAATCAGCCCATCGGCACTAAAAACAAAAAATCTAAAAGCCCAAATATCAATCAACAGAATGGATTAATTGTCAAACACTAGAATAACTCATAAAGAGAAAAGCGAATGTACTTAAGTACACACTACACATAATGTTGATAAGAAGAATCAAGACACAAAAAATGCACACTGTGATTCAGTCATATAACATCAAAAACAGGCAAAATAAACTAATTTGTTCAGGGAATGCTACATAATTAGTAAAAGTATAATGAAAAGTGAGGAAAGGCAGATTTCTCCTGATTAGGGGGAGTGGTGCAAAATGGTGAAAATGTGATATGGGAAATACCTATAGGGACTTTGGGGATGCTGGCTACATCAACCTTTGTGAGTGAGAGAGAGAGAGAGAGAGAGAGAGAGAGAGAGAGTGTGTGTGTGTGTGTGTGTGTGTACATGTATATTTATGCACTTTGATGGATGGTATGGATCTTTATGTATACTATGTATATTATGTTTCATAATAAAAGAAAGATTAATAACAAACAACCAATTGGAGTCTGTACAAATTATGCCAACATTGCTCCTTTATAAAAAGACCCTTGCTAAGAATTTGCTTTAATTTCAATCTCAGATACATCAAACTAAGAAATTACTCAGTTGAAAATAAAACCCCTTCAAAAAGAAAGTATAGTCTAGGTGTGGTGGCTAATGCCTGTAATTCCAGCATTTTGGGAGGCCAGCTCAGACTGAGCCCAGGAGTTTGAGACCAGCTTGGGCAACACAGTAAAACCTCCATCTCTACAATAATAAAAAATTAGCAATGCATAATGGCATGTGCCTGTAATCTCAGCTGCTTATAAGGTTGAGGCAGGAGGACTGCTGAGCCCAAGGAGATCAAGGTGACAGTATGCTATGATTACAACACTGCATTCCAACCTGAGCAACAGAGTAAGACCCTGTCTCAAAAAAAAAAAAAAAAGAAGTCATTAAGTAGGCTAAGCAGGCTATGGTGATTCAAGGTGACTACTTGTTTTTTTACCGGTTACTCATTGCTTGAACATTTCCAAGGTCAAATTAAAGTATCTAGTATTGACAATAAAAAGACTGCACGATTATCATCACCACTTGACTGTATTCTGCACCAACAACCTAAGAGAAAACGCAAGCATACACAGAAGACTTGGGGGCACAGTGACTTACCAATTGGCTGTGTTTGTGCTATTCTCTTGGGGTAAGTCTTGCTTCGACTCCTTGTCACATTCTGATCAGGCCGGGGAAGTTGAATAGAAAGGTCTCGGCTCATTTGCAAAGCTGTCCTGCCACTTAAAAATGCAACATTTTGATTAGCAAAGATAAAACCACACAGCCTTGAAAATGAAAACAGCTCACTCAGAATATCTGCAAAGTACAAGGAGAAGAAAAAACAGACTCAACTGGCCATAAGCATACAGGGGCTTTTAACTGATTCTCATTGAAATACTGACGAAAGAGGTAGTTATTAAATTCTAGGAGGGGAGTGGCACTAGATGGAAGGAAGATGTTTCAGAAGGAAAAGCAGGAAGAAAGGGATTATTCAAGGAGGAGTTAGATTTGGAGTGACACAGAATGATGGGCTAGAATGGAGGCCGAGATGGTCTTCAAGCACTACAATTAAATGATTACAAAATTAAGTTGGGCTAAATTATACAAGGGCAATGATTCCACATGACAGCCCCTGAGTTGCATTTACACGGCAGGTTGTAAAGCATCCCCCACAGGACAACTCAGTATAGTTTTATTCTGAACCCCATTATGGCACAATCATACATCTATTATGCCCACTTCACCTGTGCCAGATCAAGGGCCCAGGAAGACTGAAGACAGACCTAGGACCTCACACAAAGTACTCCTTTTCTGAAGATTTCATGAGGATTCAAGAGAAGGAACTTTTCCTGGGGCTGGACTAACCTTCTAAAGTAATTTTTCCCAAGGAACTGTGTAATTTCTTTTGCTGGATTTCAGTGAACATACGTCTTACTAAAAATTTATTCCACAACAGCTGAATTTGAGCCAGTGAATGACCCTGGCTTTCACGTAGGAAAATAGCATTTAAATATGGGAAAAATGCACTTCTATATGTCTAGTTTGATTCACCACAAGTAGAGTCAACTATGGGAGCAAAAAAGCCTTTGAATGGTCCCAAATCCTATTCATCCTATATTTACAGGATAAATATTAGTGAATGTCTCCCCAGAAAAGATTAAACAAGACTTTGTAAAATTCATTTTTCACGTGCTTCTGTGAAGGTATCTCCTCCTCACTAACCCATTCACCTTTATTAGAAACAAAGATGCCTGCAACATTCATAAAAATGAATCCCCAGCAGGCGAATGGGGGACAACAGTTGGTATGAGCTACCAGGGGAATTAAGATGCCAGGTCCTCTCCATTTCTGTACTTCATGTTCAATAGTAGATGTAAACCGGGGAGGGGAGGGGAGCAAACTGAAAGGCTTTCTTTTACTTGAAATGTAACTTTTTTTAAAAGGCACACAAGGTAACACAAATTTCTGAAAAGCTTAAAAAAAAAATTCCATATAGAGTGCAAAACTTCATTCTTATAAATAGTTTGGAGTATGAAGATAAGACCTATTTTCAACAGACTCTGTTATCAGAAAAATCTGGGTACTGTGTAATTCATCACATAGAGGAAAAAGTATTTCCCCTAAAAATAAAACCCAGTATGCAAACTACTGAGGTATTTTATAATGAGATTTTACTTCATTATTTGACATTTCCTCATGATTTCTCTCTCAGGAACAAAGGAGAATGAGAAGTCATTTCATAAGATTAATAAGACTGACATCCAGAAACATATCCTGATCTGCCCCAGACTATTCAGGACCCAGCAGTAGGATAGGCTTTCTGACCTCCAGTTGGTCAGGATGGCCCAGCCTGGAGGAGGCACGGAAGAGGGGACTAGACATGTAGTCATTTGGTTTGAAGTCACAAGCCCTGTTTAAAACACAGCTCAACCTTTCTCTAGTCATGTGGTCTTCAGTAGATTATTTTTTAAATCTCCATGCTTCATTTTCCTCGTGTATATTATATTTCTACTTGTTCTTATAATTTCCTAGCAGAAATATTCTTGTACAGCATTCTTACTATTTCCTTGTAGCAGAAAGTGATTGACAAGTATAGATTAACAGCATAAGGTGATGACAGTCCCCATGCATGTCTGGTGGCCCTCTTATGAGAGGACAGAGCTGTATTTCCATGAATGTCCACTTCCCTACCTCTCCATATCCTCCCATATCCTCCCATATCCTCACCCTGGGTGGCACCATCAGCAGCCCTTCAGCCTTCAAGTGAGGTATAGGAAAAAGGACAAACTCCAGGTTTGCCACGTACTGGTTAAGGGTCCTTAGCTCAATTACTTTACTTTTGAGGGGCTCTAATTTCTCATCTGTATAAAGGGGGAAACAATGCCTCCTTTGGCAGGCCATTGTGTGGATTAAATGAAGCTACACATGTGAAAGCACCTGACACAAAGGAGGTTGGGCACTTGGGTCCCTCTTCCGTGCCTCTTCTTTTTTTTTTTTTTTTGAGTTGGAGTCTCACTCTGTCACCCAGGCTGGAGGGCAGTGACATGCTCCCAGCCACTGCAACCTTGACCTGCTGGGCTCTGGTGATCTTTCTGCCTCAGCCTTCCAAGTAGCTGGAACTATAGGCATGCATCATCATGCCTGGCTGGTTTTTTGATTTATTGTAGAAATGAGGTCCTGCCAAGTTGCTGAAACTGGTCTGGAACCCGTGGGCTCAGGCAGTCCTCTCACCTCAGCCTCCCAAAGTGCTGGGATTACAGGCATGAGCCACTGCACCTGGCACGTGCTTCTTAAAATGAGGGCCTGTACATCTTAAAATGGGAAATCCCTCTGGGGAATTTAAGTCCTATAAGGTGTACACCTAATATCCCACAGGGGTTTCTCAGGCTTTATTCTTATTTCTGGAGTAAAAATTCTGCACAATTCATTCATTCATCAAAGCCAGAAGTGTCCCCACAAACTCAACAACGGATAAAGGCAAGGTTAATATTTAAGGGGCTCAGAGAAGAAGCTATCGATGTATAGTAAACTATTAAATCAATCAAAGACTTAATTTATATTTCAGATTATTGATGTCTAGTAATAAAACAACAACAAAGAATTAGAACGTCAGACTTTAGCTCAGCCTTTCCTCACAAATTTAATTTTGAATCCCGATTGTCCCATATCACTAAAAAGTCTTTTAGTGATTTTTCTCTTCTTAAGTAAACACTAGTATTCCCCAAAGGTATAGGACTCTCCTTGGCATTTTGCAAGCCCTAAAAATGTGGTAGAGAGTAAGGACTAGAACTCTGCCTTCCTCCCTCCATCATAAAGAAGTACCTGCACACCCACAAAGTCACTCACACACAACTGTAAACACATGCACAACTACACACACAAGCACACCCAAACACCCACACTGCAGCCACTTGTTAAGTTGTTCTTTATACCCCACACTCTAAAAGCCTGCAGGGTGAAGGAGGACTGTCTCAGTTCCAAGAGCTCTGCTTTCATTCCAAGACAGCTCCAGAATTTCTCAAAAAAGAGAAGACAAGCAGATGATGCTGGTTAGGGCTGGCTGTTTGCCCTCTTTTGACAACAGACTGTGTGTCAATGATCCCCCAGCAATCACAGACCCATCCTGTTCTAAGCTCTGGGCAGTGGAATGAATCATCTTTCTTTCTAGGGTGGTGTAATGTAAGCCCTTCCCATACAGACATGTAGATTTAGGATTCATTAAGGCTTACTAGGCAGTTAACATCAGTCATGAAATTAGAACAGATTTAGCTTAGCCTCCAATTCTGCAAAGGTTACCTTTAATTACTTTCTTGGAAGAAATGATATTTAATATGCAAAATCCAATAACTTTCTAATAATAACTCCCAGTAACCACAACATTTGCATTTCAATAAATTTGAGTAATCAGGTATGGCTAAATTTGTGGACGTCAACTATAGCGTATGTTAAACAGGATAATTACAATTTTAATAGAATAAACATTAAGACAGATGCCTTCTCCCCAGCTCAGTTTCAGTGACAAGGAGACAGACTTATACATTTATATCTCTATAACCCTGGCAATGTCTGATGCCATAACTGGAAGAAAAGGAAATAATCTTTCCTTAAATTTCTCATCATTATATCACTGTCCATGGAAGAACCTTGAAAACCTAAAGGTTAAATATTTAGATATCAAACAAATACCTTCAGAATACCTTCATGTAAATAAATACAACATAGACATTGCTTCATAATCACAGAACATAATTAGAAATAAGAGATAACCATATCAAAATGAATTTCTGAAGATAATAAACTCTACTACAATCTAAAAGTCCTAAATTTAGCTAATGTAGACATTAAGTATAATTAAACCGGGAAAATTACTTTTGTCAAGGAAGTTTTCATAAGCTGCCATGCTTACAAAACACATTGGCACTGTAGGAAAAAAAATAACATCACCAATTTCATTGTGCATGCAATGTGGACAGTTCAATTAAATATTTATTACATGCACACACCCCAAGGAAAAATGTCACTTACCTGTACCGGTGCTTATAACTTATGGATCCAAACTTGCTGAGTTTTCTTGACAATGAATTTGATTCATTTTCTGGCATTCTAAGCAACATTTAAAAGAAAATTAGATAAAGACTCATACACAAAGATACACAACGCAAACATAAAGTAACAGAAAATATAATATATAACACTGTTTAACAGAGCTAGGTAAAATATCTTATTCCACATATTGGCAGGAAATAATCAGTTACTTAAGCTAATACCTGAAACAAAACCATACCCCAGGATTTTATATATGTATAATATCAAATACTTACACTTTCTGAAGACTATGATACACATCAGCGCCCTAGGAAGCCTTAGCTGTAAATCAACTCTCTACTTTCTCTGCTCAAATTATCTTGGGAATTTTGCAACTATGTTGATTTACTCATGTCAAGATTTTCATGGCAGTTAATCATCTAGGATGTGGTGGTTCATTTTTATTTATACAGTATACTCCAGTACTTCCCATCTTAAGGTACTTTCAACACACACCACCACGGAGAGTTCCTCAGCCTAGCCTCAATGACCTGGAGACAATGTCTTAGGCTTTCTGGGCCATAACCCTCCCCTAATACAAACTGAACAAAGAACACTGGTCATTTTATAAGAATATTTCTCCAGCATCATGCTATTTGTGGAAGTTGATCCACACAGATCAAATAGGAATTAGGGGAGGAATTAAATCTTGTTTCCATTTAAATAAAGCATAATGTATTGCCAGTTAAAATTTTGTTTTACCTTTATAACATACAGATGTGAAACAAACAAACAAACAAACAAAAATATCCCCCCAATCCAACAGTCAATCCTCACTCCTTATCTTAATTGACCTCCCAGAAGTGCTGCATGCAATAGTCGGCAGCCTATTCATCAAGACTTTCTCCTTCCTTGTTTCCCAGGATACAACACACTCTTCTGATTGCTCTTCTCATACTCACAACTGCCTCTTCCTGTCCTCTAATGAGGCTCAGTCTTTGGATTTCTGCTTTTCTCTCCACTTTTTTCCACAGGTGACCTCATTCGGTCCCTTCTTGTCTTAAGTACCTACTAAAGTTGCATCATCAACCTTGATCTTTCCAGTGAGCCCTGTACACCTAACTTCCTTATCCCATCTCCACTTTGATGGCTAATAAGGATTTCATATTGAGTACATGCACAGAACTCTTCATTTCTACCAATATCACACAGGTGCTAGCCAAAGCTGCACTTCTAACATAACCTAAAACAACCCACTCCTTTCTTACAGTATGAGCAAAGAAGATATATCTGTGTGTATGTGTATGTATGTACACACATACACATATTACACATATGTGCCTATGCATATACACACATGTATGTATGTATATATGTGTTTGTATTAATACAATCCAGAGAACTAGGAACTGAAAAAAACCAATAAAAGGGAAAAACATCTAAATTTCTGTTTGTAGACAGAATTCTTGTTATTTGCCATTTTCATTTATTAGGACAATGAACAAAACTTTTGCATTAACTTACCTAAAAAACGTATGGTGTTCTACACTGCACTTCCAGAGATGCTTACAAGCAGTTTTACTTCGAGCTTCAAAAAAAAATGAGGTTTCATTGCACTGAAAGAGAAAGGATGAGAGGGTGAAAGTGAGAGAGAGAGAGAGAGAGAGAGAGAGAGAGAGAGAGAGAGAGAGAGAATGTGAATTAGTGACCATAACACCCTTCAAATGACAGCTCCCCTAATCCAGATGATGGCATTGAAATATTACAAAATCAGCTGGGCTCGGTGGCTCAGCCTGTAATCCCGCGCTTTGGGAGGCTGAAGTGAGTGGATTGCCTGAGCCCACGGGTTTGAGACCCACCTGGGCAACTTGGCGAGACCTCATCTTTACAATAAAAAATAAATTAGCCGGGCATGGTAGTGCGCGCCTGTAGTTCCAGCTACTTGGAAGGCTGAGGCAGAAGGATTGCCAGAGCCCAGCAGGTCGAGGCTGCAGTGGTCGGGAGCGGCCACTGCACTCCAGTCTGGGTGACAGAGTGAGACTCCAAATGAAAAAAAGAAAAAGAAAAGAAATACTACAAAATCTTCCCTCACAAATGGGCACGTATACATAAAAAACACTGACCATGCGGAAATCAAGTCCCAATAAAAAGGGATGCCCATAAGGCCAGTCCTTAACTCTGCTACTTTCAGGAATATACAAGTGATACTTAAACTGATGTCTAAAGAATGTCAGGAGGAGCCACAGGGTAGAGAGATGGCCACAGTAGTGTCACCTGGGAAAATTAAATAATGTCGCTGATGCACAGTTTCTCCATTTTGCACCGAGTTACTGAGTGGATTAAATTTAATGATATGACAGATGTAAAACGTCATATAATAGGTATACAATACATTTTAGTTATTTTAATCCAGTAGTTGCTTGATGCACTATATTTGATACATAAGAAACAAAGCAAAAGGCAAATAGGCCCTCTCTATCCCTTGGTTCCACATCTACAGATTTAACCAAATTTAAATAAAAAATATTTGGAAAAAAGAAATTTAAAAAATATAAATTTTAAAAACAATACAGTATAACAACTATTTACATAGCATTTAGATTATCATTATATTAGGTATCATAAGTAATCTAGAGATGATTTAAAATATACAACAGAATTTGTGTAGGTTATATGTAAATACCACAATATTTTGTATAAGGAACTTGAACATCCTCAGTTTTTGATAAGGGGACTGAAACCAATCTCCCATGGATACTTGAAAACATACATCTTGGAGCTACAGGCATACCTTAGAGGTATTTGGTTCCAGACACCCACGATGAAGTAGTTATTACAATAAAGTGAGTCACACAAATTTTTTGGTTTCCTAGTGCATATAAAAATTATATTTATACTATACTGTAGTCTGTTAAGTACACAATAGCGTTATGTCTAAAGACAACATATATACTTTAATTTAAAAATACTTTATTGCTAAAAAAACCTGAGCTTTTAGCAAGTTGTAACATTTTGGCTGGTGAAAGGTCTTGCCTTAAAGTTCATGAAGGCTGACTGATCAGGGTGGTGGCTATTGAAGGTTGGGGTGGCCATGGCAATTTCTTACAATAAGACAACAATGAAGTTTGCCACACTGACTGACCCTTCTATTCAAGAAAAAGATGTTCCTACAGCATGTGATACTGTTTGACAGCATTTGACCCACAGTAAAAACTTCTTTCAAAATTGGAGTCAATCCTCTCAAACCCTGTAGCTGCTTTTCAAAAAAGTTCGTGTAATATTCTAAATCCTGTACTGTCATTTTTTAAATGGTCACAGCATCTTCACCAGGAGTAGTTTTCATCTCAAGAAACTTTTTTTTTTTTTTTTTTGCTCATTCATAAGAAGCAACTCCTCATTCTTTAAAGTTTTATTATGAGGTTGCAGCAATTCAGTCACCTCTTCTGGCTTCACTTCTAAATCTACTTCTCTTGCTATTTCCACCATATCTGTAACTTTTCCACTCAAGTCTTGAACCCCTCAAAGTCATCCATGAGGGTTGAAACCATCTTCTTCCAAGTTTCCATTAATGTGGATATTTTTATCTCCTCCCATAAATCACAAATGTTCTTAATGGCATCTAGATGGGAAAATCTTTTCCAGACATTTTTTCAATTTACTTTGCCCAGATACATTAGAGAAATCATAATCCATGGCAGCTATGGCCTTACAAATGTATTTTTAAAATAATAATATTTAACTCTAAGTTACTCCTTGATCTATGGGTGGCAGAATGAATGCTGTGTTAGCAGGCAAGAAAACAACATTAATTTCCTTGTACATCTCCTTCAGAGCTATTGAGTGATGAGGTGCATTGTCAATGAACTTTAATATTTTGAAAAGAATCTTGTTTTCTGAGCAGTAGGACCTTAACAGTGGGCTTACACTATTCAGTAAACCATTGTAAACAGGTGTGCTGTCACCCAGACTTTGTTGTTCTATCTACAGAACACAAGCGTAAGAGATTTACTATCACTTTTAAGAGCCCTAGAAATTTCAGAATTGTCTATAGCACTGGTTTCAACTTAAAGTCACCAGCTGCATAAGCCCCTGACAAAAAAGCCAGCCTGTCCTTGGTAAGCTTTGAAAGCAGGTGCTGAGTTTTCCTCTCTAGCTAAGGAAGTCCTAGACAGCATTTTCTTCCAATAAGAGTCTATTTTGTCTCCACTGGAAAATCTATTGTAGACTGTAGCCATGTTCATCAATGATCTTAGCTAGACCTTCTGGATAACTTGCTGGTTCACTTTGAACTTTAGTGTTTTGAAGATGGCTGCTTTCCTTGAACCGCATATGATTCAACCTCTGCCAGTTTCCAACTTTTCTTCTGCAGTTTCCTCACCTCTCTCGGCCTTAATAGAATTGAAAAGCATTAGAATCTTTCAATAGATTAAGTTCTGGCTTAAGGGAATGTTGCGGCTGGTGTGACCTTCTATCCAGACCACTCGAACTTTCTCCATATCAGCAATAGGGCTGTTTTGCCTCCTTATCATTTGTGTGTTTACTGGAGTAGCACCTAGAATTCCCTTCAAGCATTTTTTCCTTCACATTCACAATCTGGTTAAATGTTTGGTGCAAGAGTCCTAGCTCTCAGTATATCTCAGCTTTCAAGCTTCCTCATTAAGCTTAATCATTTCTAGCATTTGATGTCAAGTCATAGATGTGTGACTCTTCCTTTCAGATGAACACTTAGAGGCTATTGTAGGATTATTAATTGGCCTAATTTCAATAATGTCAGGCCTAATTTCAGAAAAAGGGAGGCCCAAGGAGGAAGGTGGTAATGGCCAGTCTGTGGCAGTCAGAACACAAACAATGTTTATCAATTAGTTCACCATCTAATATGGATGCAGTTCATGGCACCCCAAAGCAATTACAATAGTGCCATCAGTGATCATAGCTCACCATAACAGGTGTAATAATTATGAAAAAGTTTAAAGTACTTTTGCAAGAATTACCAAAATGTGACACAGAGACATGAAGTGAACACATGCTATTGGAAACACAGCACCAATAAACTGCTCAACAGGTTTGTCATAAACCTTCAATTTGTAAAAAAAAAAATTCAGAATCTGTGTAGTACAATAAAGTGAAATGCAATAAAATGAGATATGTCCATGATTCTAATTTTGCAGAAGATGCTATTTATATTTTAAATAACTGAATGGGAAACTAAGTAAAATATGACACAAGTGCTAAAATAATAAACAAGTTCTCTGAAGTTATATAATTGCTCATTTAGTTCCAAATCTACAAACTAAACCCCAGTCTCAAATATCTCTGAAATGAGGCTTCTGTGAACATAAAGACAAAGTTGTCAGTGCAGAGGAATAAGTGAAATGACTTGTTTCCCACTTTTAATAAAGACAGAATATTTATATGCATGAAATGTCTCCCAAGTTCAATTGACGTAAATAGTGTGCCCAACTTAGGAGTTCATTTGTAAAATGAAGAGATGTGATGGAAACAAAGCCAACATATGCGTGTTACAGCAAGGATAGCTGTAATTTCAAAACCCTGTCAGGTGGAGGAAGAAAGTTGGGATGATACCCAGGTTTCTGTTTGGGTGCCACTAATTACTAAAATACAGCAAATGGGGAAAAAATGGGGCTGCAGATGACAAAGGAATAGATAATAAGTTCAGGCTGAGATATTTTGATTTGAGGGTGCCCGTGGAATGCCTAGTAGGTAAGCAAGCATGCAGGTGCAGAGTCCTAGAGAGAGGTCACATCTAGTGACACAGACGATCTCATTCAAGACGATCTCACCCAAGAGTAAATGAGATTGCTCAGGGAGAGCATGCAGAATAGATAAAGATGGAATCACAGCAAAGATACTCGTGAAGGTGGAGCAAGAGAGGTCAAAATAAACCAGGACATGGTGGCAGAGAGGCTGGGAAACAGAGTGCAGTTCTCAAGTGACCCAGAAAGGTCAGATCAGGTTTGAAAGGAGGTTACTGCATTTCACGGTAAGAAATCTTTGGTGGCCTTTGTAAAAGGGATAGAAACTTCAAAATTAGAGATGAAGAGGAAATTAATGAATTCAGAAAGTACTTTTCCTCAATAGCAAAATAAACTAGGGGTGGAGGATATCGAGTAGGGGCAAGGGGTGCAGAAAATCACAGAAGCTCCTTGAGGCAGAGTGGGAAAACCCAGATTCTTGTCTGGAGATAGGAGTGCTTAGAGGGAAATTTCTTTTGTCTTTCAAGTATACAGTTATGTGCTGCTTGAGGACATTTTGGGCAATGACAAAGATCACATATACTATGGGATACTTTCTTTTTAATGTCCCTTTTTCTACATTAGACACACAAATACTTATCACTGTGTTACAATTGCTTACAGTATTCAGTACAATAACATGCTGTACAGATTTGTTGCCTAGGGGCAACAGCCTAGGTGTGTAGCAGACTAGCCCATCTAAGTGTGTGTAAGTACATTCCATGATGTTAGCACAATGATGAAACTGCCTAACACAGCATTTCTCAGAACATATATCTGTCATAAAGTGACACATGATGACATAACATACACATGGTACAAATGCCAAAAGTTACCAGATTGGGCACACAAAGACAACTCGG